AGTTGTATTTAATAAGACATGTGGCCTATATATGCAGTATAGATAATGGAGGGACAATAATAAATACTCTAGTACGACAGTAATCAGATATAATCAAACACCACTTTCATTACGACTGCACACAATTAATTTGAGTATTTGATATAAATACGTGTGTTGATGGAGCTGCCATCTCAAACTGAGTGATTCTATTTTCATCAACTTGAACAATAAGAGTTGAACGTCTTTGTTCATTTAAGATGAATGAACAGGATCAGATAAGAAGCAGGCGCCTCTAAAATCACAGGATAATTAACAACAATTCAATAAAAGGTTTCCTCTTCATTCCCACTCCTTCTGTTGTCCTCATTTCTGTGACATCATTTTCACAAACTCTGCAAAGAGAATGAAAAAAAACTACTGATGAGCTAAATTCTTGTTGTTTCATAGCAAACTGAGATCAACGCAGCTGCAGCAAGGACAACCGCACTACATATGCTGTGACGTTTAGCTGCTCGTACAATCGAGCCACAGTCTTCTGTTGAGGACTGTCCCAATGATAAGATTTCACTGTGTGACAAATAAGTCATATATAGACCTTTATCATGGCAGACATTGCTGCACAAGTGAAACTGTAGTTCAGATTGCTTTTAAATGCACCAGTGTGCCATAACATACATGTAGCGTGTAAAATTGAAGCAGGGCAGCTTTACTAGCACACCGAAATAGAATATGAATTATTAAAATAGGTGAATATGCATGTGGCTCAGTCTATTTGATATGAAATTCAATTTGTTTTAAATCAATTTTAATATTTAGAAATTCTAACCTTTTGGATTTAAAAGAAGAATGGCTACATTTCTGTGGGTTCGTCGGGCACATGTGTTTACTAATAGCTCACCCTCAAAGTCAACTGTTCCATCTCCGTTGTTGTCAGCTTCTCTGACCACAGCGTCAATTTCATTCTTGCTGGTCTGTTCGCCTAGCAACTTCACCATGGCGTGTCTCAGCTCCTCAGACGTGATGCTACCGTCCCCATCTATATCAAACTGCAAGAGAGGGGAAGACCGAAGCAGTGTTTGACCTTTTGTGGTGCATTCGTTTAATGTCCACCGTGGGGTGCCAAAGAGCAAGAAGAGACAGAGAGAAGGTACGTTCAGCTCACCTCTCTGAAGGCCTCTTTTAGTTCCTTTAACCCAATCATCCCTGCAGTTTCAGCCAGGAGCTTCGGGGTCATCAGTTCCACAAAATCCTCAAAGTCCACCCGTCCCCCCACTGTGATAAGACAGATAATCAAATGAATAT